CCCCAAAACAGTGTAACTTATCAATTTTTATTTATTAAACAAAGCGAATAAAAATTTCGGACCTGGGATTGCAAAGTAACGCAAAATATCGATTTCGAAATATCGTTATTTATAAAGAAAGACAGCAGGTAAAAGTTGATCTGTGTTCTGTCGGAGCTGGCTGCGACGCGCTGATGAGATCCAAAGAAAGATCGACAGAATACAGACCACTTCGAATTATTTTATCCTTATTTATATTTTTATGAAAAATTAGATTGTGAAACTAGTATAACAAATCGAGTGTCTTAAGTCATGGAAACGTATCAACCACTTCTCGCAAAATTGTATTGTTTTTATTGATAAAAAATAACAATAGCTTCATTTTTTATTAACTGGGAACATAAGTTGTGCAACAGTTCTCTCATAGACTTTCAGGAATATCTTCAAAAAAATGTAATTTTCAGACGTTTACTGTAATGTTTTTTAAATAGGCCCGATATATTATGATGTGAACAGCGAAATCTCTAAGCGTTTCTTTGTTTCTGTTGGCTAATGAGACATGTGATTTAAAGTAGTATAGTACGTGAACGTATCAGTTTATTGTGGCTGTAATATTTGCAGCGGAGCAGTTAATCTCTACTGTCCCATCAATTTCAAGCATTTATTTATTGTCTGCAGAGCAACGAACTTGCGCTTCTTTTTATGGAATGTATTTTGGAAATGAATGCCGAAGTTGCCATTTTTCCAGCATATTATATTATAAGCATTAACTGGCAGAGGTGTAAGAAACAGTGGTGGAATAACTGAATTGAATATCATATATTCATATTAATATAAGAACAAAAAATTAATCGATTTTCAAATTAAATTTACAATACTCTTTACATTAATTTGATAGGAAATTTAAGTTGAATACGTGGCGTGAATCCAAAATAAAGTTATTAGAGTAGATTGTATAAGATATGACGCGTTTCTTTGACACATTACCGACAATATTTTAAACGTGTCTCACGCTGTCACGGATCGAACGTTTGGA